GGGAGCAGGCAAGTATATATCTCAACTAAGGGAGTCATTTTAGGGTTGGCAAGAGACTTGTTTCTGGAGGGGTTCTCAGGCCCAAGGAGAGGTCCCCAGATTCTTCACTGGGCAGCAGAGCAGAGGGTGCCTGAACTGGCCTTGGCCCATAACCATACTGATGAATATATTTTATATTTTTGTACATATTGTTAGGGGTCAACCATTTTTGATGATACCAGACCAGCCTTCAGAGCATTCTCTGTCCTACTTCTGACCTTACTTGTGGTGTGACCATGTTCATTATAATCTCAAAGGAGAAGAAAACCTTATAAAAAACAAAACAAAACAAAGCAAAAATGACAACAAAAAACAATCTTATTCCGAGAATTCCAGTAACTTTTTTTTTTGTGTATGTACATAGCTGTACTATAAGTAGTTGGTTTGTATGAGATGGTTAAAAAGGTCAAAGATAAAAGGTTTCTTTTTTTTTCTTCCTTTTTTTTGTCTATGAAGTTGCTGTTCATTTTTTATTTTTTTTGGCCTGTTTGATGTATGTGTGAAACAATGTCCAACAATAAACCAGAATTTTATTTAAAAAAAAAGAAAAAGATGAATTAATCTACCTATCATCCATCCATCTATCTATCATCTATCTTTTATCTATATTCTATCCATCATCATCTTCTAGCTCTAACTATATATCATCAATTTCCATATATATTATTTATCTTATGTCATCTCTCTCTATATATCATTGATCTTCTATTATCTATATATGTCTTTTATCAACCTTTCATCTGCCTATCGATCTATCTATCTATCTATCTATCTATCATCTATCTATCTTTCAATCTATATCTGAGATAGAGGTGAACTTAAGGCCCTCCTTTCTCTGCTCCCTGCATCTTAAATTTAAACACAGTTACCAAAGCTCCTTTCAAGGAAAATACCATGAAATCTCAAAGGAAGTGAAGCTCCGGGGGTCTAATCAAGACTTGAAGATGCAAAATGAGGAGGTGTTTGGTTCTGAACAAGCAGCCAGGGAGAGGAGGGGCTTGGGGACCAAAGAGGGGAGGGTGGAGGAGGCAGAACAACATGAGGAAGGCAGAAATTCCCCATAGGGTTAGGATCACAAAAGCTGTGACAGTATTTCAGGGACAGATGAAGGACTGCTCAGAAAACCCCAGCTCTTCTTCTCAGGAAGGGGTCAAGGTGCTTTTAGTTGTCCCCAGGAAAATTGTCTTAAGGAGATCATGGCCTTGCTGTTGTTCTCTATTTGGAGATGGCTTAGGGAGATGTGTTTGTAGGCTGGATTGACAAGTGGTGGTCTTGTGATGTCTGATTTGATTATTGTGGTGGTTTGAATAAAAATGGCCCCCATAGGCTCATAGGGAGTGGCACTCTGGGGAAGTGTGACCTTGTTGGAGTAGGTGTGGTCTTGTTAGAGGAAGCGTGTCACTTGAGGTGGGCCTTGGGGGTTTCGGGACCCAAGCCAGACCCAGTGTCACTCTCTCTTCCTTCTGCCTGCCTCTCCAGATGTAGAACTCTCTGCTGCCTTCACCAACATTGCTTCTGCTTGTGTATTGCCATGCTTTCCAACCTGATGACAGCGAACTAAACGGCTGAACCTGGAAACCAGCCCCAGTGAAATGTTTTCTCTCTAAGAGTTGCCATGGTCATGGTGTCTCTTCACAGCAATAATGAAGACAGTTGTTAACACTGGAACCCCGGTGCAGGGATGCAGATACTCTAACAAGACACTGTGCCTGTCCTTTGGACTATCAGACTATTACAACAACACCCCCAGGAACTGGAATTCCCCAAGAATCTCATGCCAGGAGAAGTCTGAAGCCTCAGTCCCTACCAGTTGGGAGCTTGTTTCTAGAAAAGAGATTTCACACCTTTGAGACACTTGACAGACCACCTTGCAGAGAGGAGCCTGGACCAGACAAGGATGATGGGTGGGAACAGACCTTAAAGGACTTCCCACTCTCTATTTAGACCTAACCCCTACATCAACACTGCAGTGATGGACTTGAGAGTGAGGGGTGACTCACTGGCCTCGTGTTCCTTTCCCCGGTGTGGCCATATCAAATACATCTCCGCATTTTCCCAATCCCTTTATCTCTCTAGTTGGCCTGCTGAGGTCAGGTGGCCCAGGTTGGCTTGTTCAAGCGTCAGGGCCCAGGCTGTAATCCTAACTGCTCCAGTAACATCTTGACTGGACTAAGAGATGCCTAAAATGTGGTAAGGCTTATTTCTAGATGTGTCATGGAGAGAGGTTCCAGAGAGGATTGGAAGAGAGGGTGTAAACCGAATGGAGAGACCTTGTGAGTGTGGGTAACACCATCCAGCAGGCTGGGAGCCTCAAGTGGAACAAAGCTGAAAGGGAAAGGGCTCCCAATCCGTTTGTTTTTAAATAGTTTTTTTTAAATACAAAATATTACAGTTTCCCCTTCCTCCAACTCATTCAAAATCATCCCTATCTCTCCACCCACCCAAATCTACACCCCCCTCTCATTAGACAACAGACAAAAACAAAGGACAAAACAGGAAAAAAGAGCCAAGAGCCAAAGAAAAATTACAAAAAGCAAACACATATAGATGCAGAGACACACACAATTGCTCACACAGAAATCCCATAAAAATACAAAATCGGAAACACAATATATAAGCAAAAGATCTGGAAGGCAAAAAAGGGGGGGCAAAGCTTTGAGACAAAAGCAAACATAAAACTCCCAAACTACCACTGATTGAGTTTGTTTTGTGTTGGCCCGCTACTGCTGGGTATGGGGATTGCCCTTAGGGGTGCTTTGTCTATCCAGTGAGAATCCACTGGAGGAAGCTAATTTTTCCTTTGTGAGAGGCTGCCAATTGGGATAACTTCTGGGTTGGGGCTGTGGGCTCATGTCCTCTTCCCCTCTCTCCGAATCTCACTCTTGATTCATCTTAACAAGTTCAGTTGTTGCTGTGGCTGTCACTCCTAGACATCAGACCCCATGTTCTTCAGCCTTTGAACACTGAGTTGGGCTAGAGAGGTCTTCCACCCCAGCCTGGGGTTGCATCACAGATCCTCTTTCCGAGGCTCCCAGATTCTTGGCCAGAGCTGCTACTACTGGCTTCCTTGGCTCTGTAGCCCGCAGACATCCATTGTGAGACATTATGCAAAGCAATCTAATCAATCTCCTCTTATAATTATATACATTCCATTAGTTCGGTTCCTGTGAACAACCATGACTAATACAGACACCAAGCTTAAACTGCTTCCATCCTAAAGTGTGAATGATTCCATTAATTCGAAATCTCTACGCTTTGGTCAAGCCTACAGCTCAAGTACGTTATAGGCGGTGGATCTCAGGAGATCATAGGACCAGGATGAGTCTGCTCAGGGCTTGTGTGACGCAGAAAAGGGTCAGGTCACGACTGAAATGAGATGATTCCCAAACCAAAATGAGGGGCAATCTCTGATCCTGGGGTCACCAAGAAAAATACAAGCCACACCTCAACCCCATCCCCTGAAAGTTGAGGGAAATTATAGGTTGTGTGAATTATGGGGGCCAATTTCACCTGAAAAAAAATTTCTTTTGAGACAGGGTCTCAGGCTGGCCTCAAATTCCTTATGCAGCCAAAGATGACTTTGAACTTCGGCTGCACCGGAGTGCTGGGATTTCTTGGCGCGAGTCGCCACACTAGATTTTCTGTGATGCTGAGGATTGCAGCCAGGGCTTTGTATATACTAGGAAATCACGTTACTTGAATTTTAAAGGAAGAGATTAATTCAGGTGGATTTTTGCGGACAAATTCTATCTCAACAAGCATGGTTTTTAATTCATAAAATTATAGAGCATTGGACCTTGTGGGTACATAATTCAACTTCTCATTTTGCAGTGGAAACCAGGGCTTTCAAAGGTGATGTCCTTTGCGTTGACCCCAGTCGCACGTTTTCAGCAATTAAACAAGAGGTTTTAGCTTTTCATTTTCCAAGTCTTTACTCACATTAGAAAGACATATTAAATATATTGATCCCGCAGTGGCAGAGATCATATTAAACTGTGGGGCTTTCCCACACTTAGGAAGTTGCAGAGACGGGGGACAAGCCAAGGGAGGCAGAAACCCAGCAATGAGTGTGACCAGGGGCAATCGGCTAACAGCTTGTTCTAGAACCATCCGCGTTCTTCTCCGTGTTGTTCTTCATTGCTTACATGCCTGCTCCTAGAGAGTACACAGTCACGTGATTAGGAACAACCTACCTATTTATTAAACATCCAATGCCCCCTTTTTTCCCTCAAAGGGGAGCCATGGTAACCTAGCAGGAGAGAAACTATTCCCTGGTTTCTGGTTTTCAGCATTAAGTCAGAACAAAGGCAATATTAACTCAACGGTCTGCGGAGGGTCTGCAATTCAGCCTCAAATCTCCCCCTTATCTCATCAAACACCATTAAAATAAAAATTAAAATCTGGAGTCTAGTCATTTGGTCAGCAACCAATGCCACGGAAAGACTTCTTGATTTTCTTTTCTTAATAT